TAAGACCTTCAGAAGATTTCAATTCAACTTACAGCTCTACCACTTACCAGTTATGTCACCTTGGACAAGTCACTTTATATCTCCAGACCTCAATTTTCTCATGAAGAAAATGAGAGGCTCAGACTAAATGTGTTCTGAAGTCCCTGGCACATATAAAACTATGATCCTAGGAGGGATATACTCCTCAAAGTAACCACTTTGGGAGACAGGGTGCTCATGCCAATGATGTAGCTATTACTTGAGTAATTTTGGAGACTTCTTTTGAAATTGCCTACAGAACCCAATTTCAAATTATAGAAGAAAAGCAACCCCAGTAGCCTCTTTTTTTTTAACCAAAAATTGTATCACTCATATTTTGTACCCACACAACTCAACAGACTTGATGGTTAATGATTCTTGGCTTTTTCCAAAATTCAACATACTCTGAAGGATGGGTTGATTAAGTGTAATGGACAGAGCACAGACTTGACAATTGGAAGCCCAGGATTCTGGTCCCATACTCCTGCCAAGCATTCCTGTGATTCAGAGGCACCCAGAACTGAGTTCCTGGCCATATGACAATCTTGATCAAGACACAATTTCTCTGAGCCTCAACTTTCTTGTGCCTATATTGGATATCATCTACCTTATCTACCTCAATAGGTTGCAGGGAGGATGCATAGGTGATGTATGATTAATAGTCTCAGGTCTGTAGCAGGTCTCCAGGATCATCTAGTCCAACCACTTCTTCAGGCATGAATTCCCTCTTCAACATACTCAATAAGGGGACTTGGATGTGTAAGTGGTGAATGTAGATGATAGTGTCCTATACTAGGCATATCTGGTTTCCATTCAACCACTTTTACTAATGAGAACCCAAACACCGCAGTCATCATCAGCCACTGCCAATTGGGTCTTTGAATAAAGAGAATGATAATGATGATAATAATAACTAGCATTTACATAGTAATTTGAGGTTTGCAAAGCACTTTACAAATGTTATCTTATTTAATCCAGACAACCCTGTGAGATAGGTTGTATTATTGCCATTTTACACATAAAGGAACTAAGACTGACAGATGTGAGGTGAGTTGCCCAGGGTCATGCAACTAGTAAGTGGCAGGATTCAAACTCAGGTCTTCTGAACTCCAAGTCCAGCACTCTATCCACTGCACCACCCAGTTGCCTACCTTAAGAGATCTTGAGCTTCAGGGATCCAGAGCTGCTGCACTAAATGGGACTGACAACTATAAGCAAGCCACAGCAGATCCATCAGCGATCCCTGGTCTCAAGAGCATTGAAAGTCCCACAGGGCCAGCCTTCCAGGGACTCAGACTCTGAAAGCTGAGTTGCTAGCTATATGACAATCTTGATCAAGTCACATGCTTCATATGCAGGGTACCTCCTGAGAAGATCTCATTCCCTACCATTTAAGTATGAGGTAGCCTTCCAGTTAGAGTTCAGTCTGACCCTATAGACCTGAAGACCAAGTATTTATTGACTGAGACACTCAGACAGAACTCCCTACCACCTACATGCTCATTTCCCCAATGGTCAGCGTGGCAATCATTGGAAGCAGATGCCACTTCCCCAGATTGAAGTTGTGCTCATTCATCACAGAACACTAGAGATGGGAGCCTCAGTATCCCAGCCCCTTCCCATCTTAGGGCTGGCAAGCACTAATCAAATGCTCCCTGTCATTTCTATGATTCAGTCTCCCACTGCTGAGGTAAAAATTCTTCCCCCCTCCAATATCTCTTTCTTCACTTTATCTGTATCTACCTCAGTCTATACCTGCACAGTCTATATCTTATTTTTCATTTCATTCTGTTCTCTGAACCACCCTCAAGCCCCTCTACCTCTACTATTAACAGAGTGCCATTCATTCTATCTCTTTTTAAAAGTTCAATGTTTCTTCATCAAACACCCTTTACATCAACAAGTATTCATGGAAATGAATATTCATGCCCTCTAGAAGACACTAATTCCTGGTCACCCTCTTACTAGCTATTATGCTCTTTTAAATAGTGGGCCAAGAGAAGAAGAAGACATATTCCTTGCTCCTGGATACCACTTGCAGATCCTTCCTCTGCCACCATCAATCAGAAACCTCTCCTTCTAGGTTCATCACTCTATCAAGACCATTGTTTCATTCATCTACCAACATCCAAGTCATTCTTGCTTCTTTCTTAGGGAATTCTACACCTCACTCATTACACTGTAGTGTATGGAGCACACTGCATGACACATAGTAACCTCTTAACAAGTCAATATGGTTTCATTAATAAGTCATGCCAGGCTAAGCTCATTTCTTTATTTGACAGATTTGGTAGATCAGATAATCGTCATGTCTTAGATGTTACCATCAAACATAACAGTTGAATACTACACATTTAGAGCTAGAAGGGACCTCAGAAGTCATCTAGTTGTATGCTCTCATTTTCACTCCATGCTAAGTGGCTACCTATCTCCCTGGTCCCGAACTCTGAAAGCATCCTGACTGTAGTTCTCTATCCTGCCATCTCCATCTTAATCCTCCCAAAATTATTCTTAATCCTCACCCTGAGGACCTACAATCCATCTACCTCCACCTGTCCATCACTCTTAATCTGGTTTCATTCCCCTTCTCATAGTTTTGAACACATTTATTTCATATTACAGCATGGTTTAATGACAAAAACATTGGATTTGGAGCAAGAGGATTTGTATTCAAATCCTAGCAATGCCACTTACTGCCTATATGACCTTGGTTAAGTCATTTCTCCTTTCATCAGTCCCCTCATCTATAAAATAAGGGGTTTGATCTAGATGGCCCCTAATAAGTTCCTTTTTAACTTTAACTTTTGTGATTCTATGAGTTTCTGCACTCTGGTCTCCAGGCTATCCAGATTCTATCAACTGAAATATTGGCTTCTTTTTTTTCATCTGGAAATGTGTCTTCATCCATAAAGGTATGGAATAAAACAGAGCCAAGGAGAGAGTCCTGATGCACACTGCTATAAATTTCTTCCCAAGTTGGCATCAATCCACGGACCTCTACTCTTCTGGTCTGGTCATGCAAATAGTTCTAAACCCACTTAACTGTTGCATCATCCAGCCTTCATTCTTTAACCTCACCTACTAGGGGGAGACTGTCAAATACTTTGCTAAGATCCATGTATACAAGACATTTGGCATTGTTCTGATCTTTCTTCCTTGCCCATTTTTTAAAAAAAAAATTAGTCTAACATGCCCTGGGTTTCAATGAGTCCATGCATGCTAGCAGCATGACCATTGTTTCCCTAAGGAGCTTACAAACCACCACTTTATCTGTTCTAGTATTTTTCCAGAGACCATCCATCTATACCTCCCCTCTCCCTTTTATTTTTTTAAAAATCTGGGTGATATTTTTTCCAATCAATCTTGCAGCAGTACTTAGGATTCCTTAAATACGTAAGTATGAAGACTGTCACATGGAGAATAGATTTACAATCCAATTCTGCAAGCTTTCACTAAGTCTATCAGACACTATGGAAGTCACTGCAAATAACAAGGAAAACTCTGGAGAGTGAGGGGAGGTGGCATTTCTTGATGTGCTTCAATGGTTAGACTCACAGCCTGGCTCTTTTCATTCATTGTGTTAATTGAAAAACATTGCTTGTTACAAACCCCACATAGAATAATTCCATCAAAATATCTAAAGAAAGCCAATCATTCCTGCAGCCTCAGTTTGTGCTCTCACTGTGGGCCAAATGAGTAATGAGGTCTGGAAAACTTTCCAGTCCTAGAAGAGAAACAAAGCTTTAAGCATATCTGTTAGGTAGCACAGATGCCTGTCCAACAGAGTCAAATGGAAATGAAGCATTTGTGTGGACAGAAATCAAAGGTTACGCACTGGGCACCAAACGTAAGACTTCTCTCTGGGCAGGATTGACTAAAGCCTTTTCTCCATCAAGCCTATTAATACATTGGCAGCTTATTTACACGAACTTCCTGCCTAGCACTGGCCACATTGGTCCAGATAGAGGATGTCCCAGAAGGGACAAAGTAAGTGTTTATGCTCAAAAATGAATGGGCTGCAGCTTAACAATGTGCATCCCATCCAAGGCCCATTAGCTTCCTTTCTTTTCCCAATCTTTCCCAGGAGTCCCTAACTCAGTGTACCCCAAAGGTCTTCCTTCCCATTAGCACTATCTCTGTCCTGAAAAAGCTGAGCTAGATGACTTTCACCTTGAGCACATCTGTCGGGAGGTGGCCCGATGTAGTAGGAAACACATTGCATTTGGAATCAAATGACCTGGATTCAAATCTTGGCCCTTCATCTTTACTGATTTTATCTGACCTTGAGCAAGTCACTTAACTCCTCTTGGCCTTAGTTTCTTCCACTGGAAAATGAAAGGATTGGACTAGAAAATCTCTACCATCTGCCAACTCTGAATTTCATTATCCTAAGTACAAGTTGCAAATTCTAGACTCTTTCTCCCCACCTAGTTAGCTAAGATATAACTAAAACAAAAAGAGAGGGAAGTAATCTGGCCACATTTCGCTTGCCTGGTTTTTGCTTAGCCTTTCTCCACTACCGCATGGGGAAGCATGGGAGCCCAGTGTAGTGGATAGACTATCGGACTCGGAGTCAGGAGATCTGGGTTCCAAACCAACTGCAAATACTTAGCAAAGGTGTAATCTAGAATGAATCGCTGTAGCTCTCAGCCAAGTATCCTCCTCCAAAGAATGAGGTAATAAACCTTCATTCGTGTCTCCTCAACGTCAAGACCAAAGTACTTTGCAAGCCTTCAAACGCTATAGAAATGGGAGTCATCGTCATTAATGGGGAGGTGAACCTGCCTGAACAGAGATGAAAACCTATCCAAAATGGAGAGGTGAAAATGAAATTCTAAAAACATCAGAAAAGTCCCCAAGAAAGTGAAAAAGGAGGAAAAGATCTGGGAATTCCTGGTTAAGAATAAGAAAAGGGGAGGAGGAGGGCGATAGTGGTGGCTTTAGTGGCGGGGAGGAGAGGAGAAAGTAAAGCACACGCTTACCACCTAGCCAGTCGCTAGAGATGTTCTGGAGCATGGTGACTGGGATGCAGAAGAAGGTAACGAGCAGGTCGCTGAGTGCCAGGGAACCGATGAAGATGTTGGTGACTTTCCGCATAGCCTTGCTCCTGGTCACCACGTAGAGCACCAGGCCATTGCCGAAAAGCGCCAAGATGAAGATGAGCACAGAGGTGAACACGAAGGCTAGCTTGGCGGCTCCTGGCAGCTCGGGACTGTAGACGAGGGGCCGTAGCCCGTATAGGGAGATGAAGTGCTCGCGGCTCATGTTGTGCTCCCGCAGCAGCCGGGCTAACCGCTCCGGGGTGATGTTGAGGGACTGCATGGCGCGCGCCGCACGGGACAAACGCCCCACAACCAAGACTCCAAGAGCTGTCCAAGGTCCCAGCAGCTGCAGTCAGCCGCGCGAAATAAGAGAGCGGACAGCGCGGTGGAGTGGGCTGGTGTGTCTGCGAGGGTGCGCTTGTGAGCGCGCCAGTCTGCAAGGGGAAAGCCGGGAAGCCCGCGGGGAGACCGTGAGGACCTGAAGTACTCCAAAGAAAGGGGAGAGCTTCCCCTGCTCTCCTAGCAGCTGGGGCCTGAGGCGCAGGGCGCTATTCCTGCTCCCTGCTCCGCTCCTGTTCTGTGGTCTGAGCCCCACTGCTCACCTTACTGAGCGAGCAAGGGGACCAGAGCAAGTCCTCACCTACAATCGGACCGTACAGTCAGAACTGGAAGGGACCTCACAGGTCTAGTCCAACCCTCCCATTTGACAGATAAGGAAACTGAGGCGCAAAGAAGTCAAGTGACTTGTGCGAGATAACTCAACTAGACTCAGGCTTCTCCAAAGTCAGCTCTCTCTCCTCTGCACCTCAGAAGATGGAGGGAAATGGAAAGAAAAAAGGAAAGGGGGATGCCCCCAAACAGAGAAAAGAGAGAACCAGTTTGGAGGGTCGCAAGGACGAAGACCAAGAGGATTTTCAAGCTCAGAGAAACTCTCTCCTGCGGGAGGGTCTAGGAGCGCAAAGGAAATCAGGCAAAGGCTCTGCGGAACTCAACTCCGCTGGCGAGGAGAAAAAGCTGCACCGCCGGCCTTCCAGCCCGGGTTCAGCTTGGCATCCTTCTCAGCTTCTGGCAGGCGGCGGCGGCGGCTATGCCCCTCAGTACGGAACCGAGACGCCCGAGAGAACGAAGGTGCAGAAGCGCAAGGAGGACCACTCGAGGCACGAGAAGGAGGGGCGGGGCGGGGGCAGGCTTTAATCTTGGCCGCCGTCCAACGAGAACGCACGACGCGCCAGCCACTCCCGCACCTACAAGCCCAGTCCGCCCGGATTGGCCACTTCGCTCGAACTCACCCTCACACTGATTATAGGCGTCCTCTGGCTTTGCTTGGATCGACTTCTGCCGTTCAACTTCCTTATTTTAGTGGTGAAGAAACTGAGGCACAGACTGGGAAAGGGTTTGTCCAACAGTGGAAATTCAATCCAGATTGAGTCCTCAGCCCCACATTCAGAGATTTTCCCTCTGTATTTGTGATTTCCTCAATTGGGAACTTTCTTCTACTGCTGCTAAGTGAATGATTCAAACCAAAACAAAACACTAATCTCCACTAACTTGTGACCACAGAATCATATATTTAGAACTGAAAGAGACCTTAGAAGCCATGGAGTTCAACTCTCTCCTTTTACAGTTGAGGAAACTGAAGCACAGAGAGGTTAAATGACTTGCCTAGGGTCACACGGCTAATCAGTTTTTTAGACAGGATCTGAACCCAAGTCATCTTGATTCTAAGTGCAGTGTCCTATTCCAATAAGTCCCAGGTAGTAGATTTTTCTTTTATTTTTAATTTATGGAATAAAGCAAGCATTTCCATAACATAATATAATACAAAAAAAAAAAAAGATGATTGCACATGAAACTGAAAATCTATCAAAAACAATTTGCTATTGGATTGAGCCGCATAGAAAGAACTACTTGGCCAAGGTTACACAGTTCCTACATATCAGAAGGGCACTTTCTTGCTCCAAGAACACTCCCCTGTCTCCTAGGCTTCCCTGCCATAAGGCGTTATGGTTGGCCCGCGCGCGCACACGCACACACACACACACACACACACACACACATTATGGGCTAGTAGCAAACTTTGAGTGCTGAAACAATGCCAGAGGACTCAGCTATGACTGTCCTCTGGTGACTGACATACACAAGGTTCCTCACCGGTCTGAAAGCCTGTCTCAGAAGGATAGTCAGAGCTTGTAACCCATAGCAAATTTGAGAGAGCCTTAGATCACCAATTTGATAAGTTTAGACTGGGGATGGGAGTGGAGAAAGAGAATTTAAGGCGAAATCTTTTTTATTTTTTTTTAGACAATCATCAAGGGAACTTGGAGAAGAATCTTGCCTGGTAGGGCAATGTGTCATTGCCACAGCATTGAGAAAGGGGAGGCTCTCAGTGAATTCCCACTCAATTTTGGAGATTCAAGGGAAGAAAATAACTCTGGAGTGCTTTCATAAACTTTTCTGGGGGGCTGGCTTTTCCAGATCATAAAGCTATCATTTCTAAGCCACCTAGTACTGGAAAAATAATAGAAAAGGAGATCAGTGGAATGGATTAGAGTAGGAAGATTTAGGAGCAAAAATATTTATTGAACAATGGCTCAATAAATATAAGAATGAAAATCACAGTGGTAAATATTATTTATTTAATGAAAACTGCTGGGGAAATGAAAAGGTAGTTTGTGGGAAATGTATTTAGATATACAAATACTCTACGCAATTCCAAATGGACAAATGATCTAAATATAAAGAGCCACATTTTTTAAAAAAAGAGGAAAATTGAAGGTTATTCCGATAACAACTGTGTTTAGAGGAAGGAGTGTTTGAACAACTGCCACATAAATATTAAAGAACAAAAGATTGTTCCTATGAAAAAATTTTAAGGTTTTGCACAAATAAAAACACTATAGTCAGAATCAGAAAAGATATGGATTAGAAGATAATCCTTGTATTACACCTATCTTATGAAAGTATGAAATTCCAAATCTATAGGTAATTGAAATCTAGCAACTGAGATATCCCCATATTCTAGCCCTCCCCTAGAACAGCTACCTGAGGTTTAAGGTTCTTCATGGACCTCCCTGCACTGAATAAGATTGTTCATTCCTGTATTTACTTTTTCTCTAGTCAACCAGAGGGTATAATTAGTTTGGAGTAATATATACTAATGTCTCTTCCATGTAGGCTGGGCTTGTTTTTCTCTAAATAAATAGTGAAACTATCCTTGAAAACTTACAGTACTTAGTCTAGGTGACTAAGTTAGCTTCCTGGTTGCCTAAATATAAATGCCAGCCTATGAGAAGAAGTCACAACCTCCTCCCTCCAGCTTTATCAGTATGCCAACAGGTAAATGGCACTCAAGTGAATCAGTGCTGTCTCCTTGCTGAATATCCTTTCCTTTTTTTTAACCTATCATATGGCCTAAGACTCTCTCACTTCATTCATTCCAGTGCCAAACCTGAGTAACTTGGCTGGCCTGAGTCAGGTCTGGCCTACAACAATTCATTCAAAGTAAAAAGATTTCATGAAATAGCATAGTAAGATTTTCAATAAAAGATTCCCCCATAAACCTAGGGCACAATCTCCCACCAATACACGAGAGTCAGGGGGGATAGACAGCATGCAAAGGAATCACACATGAGGGACCCACAAGAGCTGGGGTGGCAGGGGCAGAGAGGTAACTCATACCTCAAACTCTACATTATCCTTGTTATCTTCTGGTTTTGAATTGATGGTACTCTCACGGGGCCTGTTCATCAATGATTGTGGCTTTTCTTCTAGGTTTTCTATTCTGCTGGGCTCTACAGGTCTCCACCTATCTCTCTGTCATTATAATTGCTGCACACATTGTCACTAAGGCTGCATCTCCTTGTTGGTTCTTGAATGTCTGTGGTCCTACCTTCAATGGGCACACTGGACTGCTGATACATTCTAGTCTGTGTTAGGCATTGCTCAAGTAGCTGCTAAATATGTAATCTCTGTTGGGTATTACTTCCTTCTACTATCTTCTGGTCTTATCTCTTCAGACTGCCGCTCAGTGTCAGTCTGCTAGGATATAGAAATTAGGACCTAGGCTTTATTCAAAGCCACTGAACCCAGCTAACAAAACCCCAGCAAACTGATCCCCAGTTTAAAGTTAACTCTTTTCTTTAAAATTTATTTTATTTTTGATTTATGGAATAAAACAAGTGTTTCCTTAACATAGTATAATAAAAAAAAATAATTGTACATGAAACTGCTAATCTATTTGTACAATTTGCTATTCCTTTCAAATATATAATAAAGTTATCGTGTACATTTCTTTTTTCTTTTTTTTTACTTCCCTCCTCTTCCCACCCTGGAGCTGGTTACCATTAGCTACAAATGGGAAATTATATGTAAAATTATTCTATACATACTTCTGTTTATCAGTTCTTTCTCTGGATGCAGATAGCATCTTCCATATGTTCTTTATAGGTAATTTGTGTATTTATAATAGTAAAAATGACTTATTGGCTCAAAATTATTCCTTTTTAAAATTTATTTAATTTTTAATTTTTGGAATAAGATGAGTAATTCCACAACACAATTTAATAAAAAAGATGATTGTGCATGAAATTGCAAAACTGTACAACAAAGTTAACATGTAGATTTCTTTTTTTCTTTCCTTTTTGTTCTTCTCTCCCTGCTCCCACCCACCTAGAAATAGCCACCATTAGACACAAGTAGGCATATATGTATATTATATATACATATATGTATAATTATTCTATGCATACTTTTATTTATCAGTTCTTTCTCTGGATGCAAATAGCTATTTTCTTCATATGTCCTTTATTTTTAATTTGTGTATTTATAATAGTAAAAATGACTTATTTGATAATGTTATTCTTAAAATAATATTGCTAAAATTTAAATAAATGAATAAATAAAATAAAAATAAATAAAAATAAACAATATTGCTATTCCTGTATACAATGTTCTCTTGGTTCTGCCTATTTCATTCTTCATTTTTCATACAAGTCTTTCCATGTTTTTCTAAGCTCTTTGAGCTCATCATTTCTAACAGCACAGTAGTATTCTGACACAATTATGTACCACAACTTGTTGAGGCATTCCCCAATTGATGGAGATCCCTGCAGTTTCTAGTTCTTTGCCACCACAAAGAGACTTGTAAACATCTTATTCACATTCAAAGTTATAGTTACTATTTGTGAATTTCCCTCCATCTTATTTTTACTCACTCTTTTCCTTCTCAAACTTTCTTTTTACCCTACTCTTTTTACCCTACTCTTCTCCCACTACCCTCCC